TTTACAAATAGAGTTATGTATTGACCATGCATGTAAAAAGTATGTACATACTGGTCAATTATAAGATAATTACATATATTTATATATAAGCATTACGTAATAGCCTAATAAAAATGATAACTATCTTGCAAGTTATCATATATTATCAATTTATATAACTTAAATCTTTATCGTTATTTTCTATAACAAGCAGTTTGGTAACATGCAAGTTATGGTAACATATTATGTTACATGGTTAATGTATATAATTTAGATCCAATCAAAGTTTAACTTCTATAAATTAAACTTAATAAAAAAATTATATTATCATGTCACTTCAAAGATAATCACGGATAACTATCCATAATAAGTAAAATTAGCATCTGGACAACACGACAAACAATCAGAAAGTAACATAATTATATAAAAATTATTTACAGTGTTATTGTAGAGTATAAAAATATATAGTATATACTCTTTTTGTCCTAATTTAGGTTACATTCTTTTTTTTTTAAATGTGTCATATAAATTGAAGCGTCGGGAGTACCTTTCTCGCTTCGTGGGCCACCAGTTCTGCATCTTCTAGGATAAGGGAATTCATTACCACCAAGTACTGGTCTTTTAGTATCATCACTGGCATCAGGATCTCCAATATCATTGTAAACATCATAATCATATACTCTCTCGAACTTTTTACGTTGTCCAATTCCATCACCTCTCAATATTACAAGTTCTTTTTCTCTTAATCTCTTTATTGCACTTGGTGTTTGAGATGGTAGATATGACTGTGTATCAATATGGAAATAAAACATATTAATAAGCCTGGATTGATTCTCATTATGGATACAATTGAAAGAGTACATTGAAATGATCCAATTATGTTAGTAAAATTTCAAGAAATTTTTGAAATCAAATATACACTAAATCTGTAATCTCTTGACTATCAACGGGAGCGGATTTATAGGCAAAATTATGGGGTACGTGAATACATGGTCTTTTTTGTAAAATTAGGTATTTTATATACTCTCTCCGTTCACTTTTACTTGCCACTATTGACTTTGCGCACCCCTTAAGAATTAATAAATAAAGTTCCTAATTTATCATGATACTCATATTAATTGATGTATAATCTTAATGGATTTGAAATAAGTAATTAATATTAAGATCAAAACAGAAAAAATAAGTTATTTCTTGATATGAGAAAAGTGTCAAATAAAAATAAAAATTTATTTTTGGAATACTTGACAATTAAAAGTGAACGGAGGGAGTACATATTTTCTAAAATTAGTATAATATTAATTGTTGACACCCATATTTTAAGAAGGTTGAATGGTGTACTTGGATGGAGGTTGAGTTATTTATCAAGAGGAAGAAGGGTCAATTCCCACTTAATACATTTTTTTATTCTTTTTTTAGTAGTGCACCCATGTACTAAAAATTCTAGATCTATCTCTGACTATCAAATCGTCCCTACAAATATATATAGTATAGTTGTATGTCTAGTCTCTTTCTTTTTTCTCGTATGGGTCCTAGGAGTTACCTAAGTGGCAGTCGACCATTTCTAACGTTGGATAATTAACTGCATGCATGTTGTTGCAAGAAGAAATGTAGTACACAAGAAGAGCAGCCTGTGTTTGTAATAATAATAAATGCAATTAATAGGACCACAAGGTCCACAATATGCCTTTTTGGTACATTTGTCTTGTTTATAAGTGAGATGAAACAAAAACATAACTATATATCGAATATTGGAATGGACCACTATATATGGTAAAAATAGTATGGGCTAGCGTACTGAAGTTGCAAAAACAATCTATTGTAGAAATGCATAGTAAACTGTGTGCATAAGCGCCGATGTGAGAGTTATGTGTGTCATGCTACTCCTATATGTAGTCCAGTACTAACGAAAACTATTATTAAACAATTATCCCTATATGTGGTCCAGTACTAACGAAAAGATCGTCTATTATTAAACAGTTAGTGAACAAAAATTGAATCTTTTATTACCTATCAATATTCCAATTGTGCCAATTCGAATATTATGCTTCTTGTTACATGTAAGACCTGATAATTGGGATGGTAAAATATGGACGTGGACGTGATTTTTAGAATTCTTTTTAGGTTTTGAAGAAAAGAAGGTAAAACATACTAGGGGTACTTTAAACTGTTTATTATAGGAAATCTTTTACGAGTTTAATATTTAAGCTTATACAATCAAGTCACTGATTATAATATAATTACAAGTAAATTGCTATAATAAGCTTAAGCAATAACCTGGTAAATATAACTTGAATCACTTCTTCTATAGTTAGATCATATTTTCGTCCATTATATATGAAAATTTGGCCTGTCAAATGGGCCGGGTCGACCATGAACCGATCAACATAACGTTAAAATAGCACGGGCTAGCCAGTTTTTCGGACTGGTCATTCAAAAATAGCCAGCGTTTGCCAAGTTATTGAAAAATAGCCACTATTTTGCTGCAATAGAGACCAGTCCAGCATAATATACTGGAGTTCGGTGCACCTGTGCATGAACTTCCAGCATATTATGCTGGCCCGGTATACTTTGTTGGCTCCAGTATAATATACTGGAACTCCAGTATATTATACTGGAGCCAACAAAGTATACCGGGCCAGCATAATATGCTGGAAGTTCATGCACAGGTGCACCGAACTCCAGTATATTATACTGGAATTCCAATATATTATGTTGGAGTATTTTTCGGATTTTGAACAGTGTTTTCGTTCAAATTTATCTTTACATGAAAAGTGGCTAAATTTCGATGACTTTTGAAACTGTGACTATTTTTGAATGATCACTTGTAAACCTGACTATTTTTAAATTTTTCATTAAAATTGACTCTTTAATCGGCCCATGACCTACGAAACCCTAATTGGACTAACCCATTAATTTAAGGGGCCTGGGGCGGGCTATAATACTTTGATCCACTGAATCGGACCGGACCCGAACTGGTAGTTGACCCACGGGTCAAGCGGCTCGGACCAGCGTCAACGGGTTCGGGTCGCGTCGACCCATTTAATAGGTCTAATGAAAATCAATCAACCGGAAATTTCTTATTCTGGACGAAAAAAGCATGTCTAAATTACGAAATATTTGTGAAATAACTCACGTTTTTAGATCACCTATTATGGTTTGTCAATTCTAATTGTTTGGCTACTATGAGAGAAAATCATTATTAATTCTTTTTCCAAAAATATAATAAGATAGTAATTATTTTGGGTAAAATAAATAAAGCATAAATGAAGAGGGAATTTTTGGCAAACCTTGTTGGTGAAGAAAATCCTTTCCTCAGGATCATCAAATTTGGAGTGAACCCAAGAATCGCAAGTAATATTAACTATGCCATGGGGAAAGCCATCAATTACTATATTCTTGACATACATTTCCTTGTGGTGCTCATTTTGTACTAAAACTGCTCCAACCTCCCCAAAGTCTTCAGGAATTACAAAGTCAGCCTCATATTGTGTGTAACCATCCACATCTCGTCCACGATGTGCAAACGTCTTAATGCTTGGTTTCTTTATTCCAGTCTCTTTAAAAGAGATAATAGAGAACAAAATATATAATTAATAATATTCAAAGAAAAACCATTAACAAAAAAGAATAACAATTAAATACAAGTTGCAAGACAAAAGAGGACATTCTATTAGGAATTAAGACACTAAAAAAATTGGATAACGTCGTGCAGATGTTGCTAAACAGTATATTTTTATCGCTTAACCAATTCAATGACATTACCGAAAAATCTTATCAGCTACAGGCTATTTAGCAATAGATTAGAGATGAATTTCGTAGTTAATTTTTGCAGTGAGAAAATGAGGAAAAACTTGAACAATTATGAAGCAAGAAATCAGCATAAAAGAAATATTGAATGACTTTTGCATGATTATGCCTTTTTTTTTCTTTTATAAGATAAGGTAGTGAACAAACTTTTATATTATATGCTCGTCAAAATTTCAAAAATTCAAAAAAAAAAAAAAAGACTAAAAAAGGAGCAATAATAATCTTCAGCTTCGAAGTTATTGAGTTAATTATTTAAATTGTTTTTAATTTTGAAAAAATTACCAAAGTACAATTTGCTTCAGTTTTGCACGTTACATCCGTACGTTGTTTCTGTTAACTGAGTGAATCCGATAGAAGATAATTTGCAAACGAAATAGCATCCACAAATGGCTTATCTAAGTACAATTATCAACATAAAATAATACAGTTATTTACATAGTTGGAAAAAAAGTACAATTATTTACTTCACTATCATAAAAGGTTAGACAAC